GAGCTGCCAAGCGGCATGTTGGCACTTGGAGGATATCACAAAGCCACGGGAAATCCATAGGGAAGAAGGGGTGGGGGATTTTTTCCCAGGAAATCCATGTTTCACCCCTGCCCATGACCCCCTTGCCCCCTCAGCAGAGGAGCTGTACAGTCCCCGGGTGCTCCAGGCTGTTGCTTTCAGACAAACATACACTTGGATTTATTTATGGGGTGCAACATAAGCCCGTCCGAGGGGCAGGGAGGGGACAAGACGTGTCTTGGGGCACGTGCGTGGCTGCAGTGTGGGGTGGAGGGTGCCAGAGCCCTGCAGGGAGAGCAGACCTGAAATCCTGCCCTGCCGCCCACGAGGACTCTGCTCGGATTTTTCAGGCATAACCGTGGGTTTTTTGGAAGGGAGCCTCTTGGCCTCTGGGGAGTTGGAGGCTGGGAAGGTGCAGCCGCTCGCCTGCTGCTGGCTCTGGGCAGAGCTGTGGGCATGGGGACTGCTCCAGCTGGTTCATCCCACCCATCGACCGTGGTTCTCCAGGCTCTTGGCCTCCTCTCCATGGAGCGCGTCCCACTGGGTCTCACCAGCATCCTGGGATGGCTGGTAGGACACCTGCATGAATTTAATGTAGAGGGAAAGTCTTCTAGGTACCATAAATCCCCCCCACGCTGGGTCTGTGTCCCCTCACAGCATGGAGGTTGTCATGGGCTCCTTTAGATGGAGAGGCTGGTCTCTTTGGGAGGTGCAGGAAGGTGTCGCGTGCTCTGGGATGGCTGCAGGACTCCACGTGCATCTGCTGTCCTGGGCTGGAGAGCAGCAAGGACTGGGGTGTCCATCCTGCAGAGCTGAGGGGTTGGCAGTGTCTGGGAACCCCGGCAGCTGAGGTCTTGGGAAGCCCTTTCCTGCCCCAGCGCTGACTCTCCTCCCCATCACCCTCCCCAGCTCTGAGGACCTTGAGCCCAGGGGCTTTGTTTGGGGGGATCTTGGCGTTTGGTGGACACACACCTCAGCCCCCCAGCTCCCACCTCTCCATCCTCCCCAGGACCCCCAGGACTCCCATGTCCTC